CAGACCAAACAACATACACTTTTTTAATTTAGGAGCTTATTTTGTCTATTATAATTTTTCTATTTTATTTATTGACAAATGAAATTGCATAAATAATTGTAAATAAATTATCAGCATTAATTAGTAATATTTGTATTAGTAATTTTTTCAGGATTTATTTATGGAGAAATAAAAAGATAATTAGAGAGAGAACTCCGCCCTCTTTTCAGTTTGGAGAGAGGAATTGTTTTATTTAACTTTAGTTCAGCTTTAAATGTGAAATATATTAATATCAGCTGGAGAGTTAAACTTATTGATCACTGATTATGAGTTTTCTCCGCCATTGAAATAATTAAAGCTTTACTTGTTTGTTTATGATGAGTAAACTGATGAATGGCCGCCAGGCTGCTGGTTTGTTTGCTCTGGATGATTATTCTGCATGTTAACATTAATTTCCTGTTTAACCGCCACAGTGACTGACGCAGCAGAGCCGCCACTCGCCTCACGTTTCCTCTGGTTTGACTTCACCAAACGTCCATGAACTTCCTTCCTGCTGCAGAGAACAAAACGTTTTATAATCAAGTGAATTTAATTCTCCATTAATGCGGCGCCGTAACGTCGGTTTAGCCCCGATTCAGTCAGACTTCAGTCTGAGGGCTCTGAAGGTTTCTCCCATGGTTTCTATGTGTTCAGCTGATCTCTGGCACGTTGAGATCAGCGTTCCTCAGGTGGAGGCGTGACCCGGAGGCGTGACCCGGAGGCGTGACCCGGTACCGAATGGTTGTGGCCAGGTTACAGAACTAGTTGGATGTAACAACCGGAACGTGGCTCTGAAACCCGGAAGGTTGTGGAGAGTCTTCAGTGGCCAAACGTCCTCAGTGACGATTCCCCGGTTGAATCGGCTCCATGTCCATCCGTCCGTTCAGCTTCGTCCTCGTCCCCCATTCAGAGGATCGGACAGGGCGAGCGCTCTGGGTTCAGGAGAACATCTACCTTCATAACAAAAGGAGGTTTCTCCACTTTTCTGACACCCATCGAACGTCTGAACGGTTCTGCAGCACAACGGTTCGTTGAGTAAAAGCAAGGCACACCAGACCCGATGTGGCGTCAGTCCGACAGAAATCTGATGAGGCACACGACAGTTAGATCACGTTGAAGTCAACGGGATCTCGTTGTCCGTTGGCCATTCCCTCTGACTGGGTCTGACCGTCCAGACAGGAAAGACCTGAGGTCTGCTTTCAATGAATCTACGAACAACTTGATAAGAAGTGAGACGTGTCCAAGTAAAACTCATCTGATTTGGATGAAAATACAAACTAGAGTCTTTTACTCCAACAATCAGTGAACGTCGTCAGGGTGAGATCGTCGGACGGTGAGATCGTCGGACGGTGAGATCGTCGGACGGTGATCTTGTTCTAGCAGGTTTGTGTTTTCACCGGATGGTTTCTGGTACAAACTCTCGTGTGAAAACTCGATCACATGAACCTTGTGGTCTGTTGAGGAACCTCCAAGTCGGATCCTGTATGTGAGGAAAAGATCGGGACAAGTCGCAGGAAAGGGGGTAGTTTGGTCTGAATGCATCCAGGTATCCCAAAGATGGGACAGTTTGAGTTGTAAGAACAGGATTTCAGCCTCAACGTGGGACCTGCTCGCTGTGGGACAGTGGGTCCAAACGCTGGACAGTTTGGCTGCTTGGAAACAAACTTCATGATGGATGAAGATCATCCGCTCGTGTTGCTCTGAAAGCAGGACGCTTGTGATCTTTCCTTTGAACAAACCATTGTGTTTGCTTTAGGTAATCGTTTCCCTGCCGTTGTGTGAGTTTGCGCTTGTGGGCATTAATTTCCTGCCTAAGCTATAATCATAACAGGCTGCAGACACGTCGTCCCTAAATACTCCATGGAAATGCTGATTGTTTTCTCAGCGGTTGGTCTTTAGATCTCCTGTCTGCTGTGACTGAACAGGTTTCATATCAACGGCACAAAGAAGCGGCTGAATGGACGGTTCCACTGGATGAAACACAAAAGATGTTAAATAATTACCTGGAATCTGCAAACAAAAGAGACTTTTAGTTCCCAACCTGGACTCATGAAGTTCCTTTCGCATTGTTTAATCACCTCAGCTGTTCTGCGTCCTCCATGTTGCCTTCCACATTATAATCCTCATTTCACTAAGTGTTATAGTTTTGTCTTCACTCCACATTTAACATCCCTGCAGCCAGATTAACCAAGTATGATCAAATATCATGACTACAGATAAATGTGGTTGGATTTCCTGGGTCTGTTGCCTTCATCTCTAGCAAACAATGATGTTCGGTTAGTCGTTAGTCTGCAGGATTGGGTTGGTGGTTTACTAGTCTGTTAGTTTGGGTGGAGTGGGTCAGTTGGACAGATGGATGGATGGTTGGTCAGTCTGTTGGTCAGTCAGTCTGCCTGTCTGTCGGTCAGTCTGTCGGTCTGTCTGTCTGTCAGTCTGTCTGTCGGTCAGTCTGTTGGTTGGTCACTCTGTCGGTCGGTCTGTCTGTCAGTCTGTCTGTCAGTCTGTCTGTCGGTCAGTCTGTCAGTCTGAGCTTGCTGGTAGAGAGCGTGTCGCTGTCTGTCCGGTGGTCCCTGCAGCCCAGTGAATCGTGGGCGTTGCTCCGCAGGGCAGCGATGAACGCTGCAGTGACTCCATGCTGCAGGTCGTTATCGTTCCTCTGAAGCGCTGAGCGGCGCTACGACAGAAACGCTTTGGTATTTATGGCCACTGCATCCATTAAGCCAGAAAACTGATCTGCACTTTGGTTATTAAGTCTGAGGGTCTGTTAGCGGCTCGTTGCAGCTCGTCCGAGGGAAACAAACCAACAACCAGAGACCCGATCGTCTCCCTGATTGATGGATGACAAACTAACGCTGAACTCCATGTAGTAGCACCGGAGCTCATCCACTTTAATGACGTCAACATTTATTGCAATAAAACAGATTTCTTTAAAAATCTGCTGAGCTAAAAATACGGGTTGAGATTTACGACGACTCAGTCAGTGAGGAAAACCTCTGAGACACACACACACTCTCATCTGTGTGTGTGTGTGTGTGTGTGTGTGTGTGTGTGTGTGTGTGTGTGTGTGTGTGTGTGTGTGTGTGTGTGTGTGTGTGTGTGTGTGTGTGTGTGTGTGTGTGTGGTGGTTCCAGAATTAATACTGCCCTAATGGAGCCCATTGAAACCTGCAGCCCCCCTCTCGGCTTCAAAAATGATTTAATTGCATTTGCAAAGTGGATGAGTCTGGAGGGAGTGTTTGCTGCGTCAGGACACACACACACACACTAACACACACACACACTAACACACACACACTAACACACACACACACACTAACACACACACACACTATCACACAAACACACACACTAACACACACACACACTCATACACACACACACTCATACACACACACACACACACACATACATACACTAACACACACACACACTAACACACACACTAACACACACACACACTAACACACACACACACTATCACACAAACACACACACTAACACACACACACACACTCATACACACACACTCATACACACACACACACACTAACACACACACTCATACATACATACACTAACACACACAAAACATAACACACTAACACACAACACACACACACACACACACACACTACACACTAACACACACTAACACACACACTAACACACACACTAACACACACACTAACACACACACTAACACACACACACACTAACACACACTAACACACACACTCTTGCTCTGTCAGGACCAGGAAGAGAAACGGTCTTTCAATTAGCCTGATTGGCTGCCTGAGCTGCTGCTTCGTTGTCTCTCTGCTCTCACGTCTTTATCCTCAAAACCAGGTTTGGTGAACGATCGTTTTCCCCGCTGTCCCTCCATGTCTCCCGGTCCGTGTCTCCCTGTCCGTGTCTCCCTGTCCGTGTCTCCCGGTCCGTGTCTCCCTGTCCGTGTCTCCCTGTCCGTGTCTCCCTGTCCGTGTCTAACGGTCCGAGTCCCATTTCTGCTGCTCAGCCTGTATAATTCATCTACACTGTGATGTCATTATGTTGAAGGTTTTGTTGGGAAAAATAATTGTGTTTTCATCTCATTTAGCTGTCTGCACACACACGCGCACACACACACACACACACACACACACACACACACACACACACACACACACACACACACACACACACGCACCACACATACACATACACACAGCTAAAGGAAATGCCTCAGTTGCCCTCTTTGGGGCTAACAGGGAAACCCAGACTGATAGCATGCTAATGCTAATGGGCTAGCGTTGTGTGTTGGACTAAATAAATGAATTCAATTGATTGAACTTTGATTCTTCAAGCTGATGCATCATGAGCCGAATGGAGACGGATAATTTCCTCCAGGTTCATGAAACAACCAAAGACAATCTGAAATGTGTCAAACCAGAAAAACTTTTGATCATCAGAACCGTCAGAACCATCAGAACCAGTAGAACCATCAGAACTATTAGAACCGTCAGAACCATCAGGACCATCAGAACCATTAGAACCAGTAGAACCATCAGAACCAGTAGAACCATTAGAACCAGTAGAACCATCAGAACCAGTAGAACCATTAGAACCATCAGAACCAGTAGAACCATCAGAACCATCAGAACCAGTAGAACCATCAAACCATCAGAACCAGTAGAACCATCAGAACCATCAGAACCAGTAGAACACGTCAGTGTTTGTGTTTTTGTCCTCAGGTTTTGGACCGATGTCTGCCTCTCCTGGACACAGTGGAGCATCATTCAGAGTTTTGTCTGTGGATTGGACTTCAACCTCCACATCCCCACCAGGTGACCCGTTTATCCCACTCATCCTCTTCACTTCCTGGGGTCAGGTTCGGGGACTGGGTTAGGGTCGAGGACGGGGTTAGGGTCGAGGACGGGGGGTGGAGGACGGGGTCAAGTTCGGGGACGGGGTTAGGGTTGGGGACGGGGACGGGGTCAGGGTCGAGGACGGGGTCAGGTTCGGGGTTAGGGTTGAGGACGGGGTCGGGGTTGAGGACGGGGTCAGGTTCGGGGTCGGGGTTGAGGACGGGTAGTGTTTCATCTTGTCTTTCTGACCTCTGGGGAATGAAGTTTTTTGAGGAAACAGAGACGTTTTATCCAGGAGGTTGTTGCTCGGTAACCAAGTGAGACTGTCAATGCTACACAGTTAGCTTAGCTTTGAGCGGTTGAGCGGCTAAAGCCTTTCCTCTGCCTACGTCTCCCAGAATGCCGTGGGGTTCTGGATCAAAGTATTATAGAATATTCTATCAGACATGTTTCTAGGTTTTCTATGGATATTGATCACGTTTCTGGAACAATAGATATCGTTATTGTTTCATCATCCGCTCTTTATCATCCTCATCCCCCTTCCACACCTCTCTTCATCCCACTTTCCTTATCTATATGATCACTTTTTCGTCTATCCAGTCTGACTTCTGTATCTTCCAGCCTGTAAATCTGTAAAATCGCAGCTGGTTCATGTCCTGACAGCATGAATGAAGTGAACTAACAGTTTGGATCTTTGGGAAGTTCCCTGATGTGGGAACTTCCTTCCTGTCAGCGCTGCACTCTGAGATAGCAGAGTGTGCGTGCGTGTGTGTGTGCGTGTGTGTGTGTGTGTGTGTGTGTGTGCGTGCGTGCGTGCGTGTGTGTGTGCGTGTGTGTGTGTGTCCGTGTGTGTGTGTCCGTGTGTGTGTGCGTGTGTGTGTGTGCGTGCGTGTGTGTGTGCGTGCGTGCGTGTGTGTGTGCGTGTGTGTGTGCGTGCGTGTGTGTGTGCGTGCGTGCGTGTGTGTCTGTGTGTGTCTGTGCGTGTGTGTCCGTGTGTGTGTGTGCGTGTGTGTGTGTGCGTGCGTGTGTGTGTGTGCGTGTGTGTGTGGGTGTGTGTGGTGTGTGTGTGTGTGTGGTGTGTGTGTGTGTGTGTGTGTGTGTGTGTGTGTGTGTGTGTGTGCACGCGGCTGATTTAGGGTCATCCAGCTCTCTGTCTGCAGATGTCCGCTCAGAGCAGCGAGTCGTAAAGGCCTCTGGTGTCTCGGTCCGTTGTGGGTCGGGTCCAGGTCGTCGGGTCAGTCCGAGCTCAGGCTCACCATCAGGCGACGCAGATCAGCTGATCAAAACCAGCGTTTTTGATCTGATGGCAGGTTTCCATTTTCTGAGAAGTTGGATTTGAGAAATGAGTTTCACTTCTGGAGCAGATGAACCACAACGCTGAGCAGCAGGATCATGCTAGCATCACGGCTAATTTCCTGCTGCTGCAGCTGCTGCTGCTGCTGCAGCTGCTGCTGCTGATGATGATGATGATGATGATGATGAGCTGCCTGGAGGTGGAGGGAACAGATTCTACCTGAGCTCTTTAAAGAAGCTCATTTCCATAAACCTGACAGGAAGTTCAGACGGATGGTTAATCTTGTCTTCATCTTTAGCTTCGTCTTTAGCTCTGACTGAAATCCTGGCCAGGGTTTGTTTTTCCAGCTGTTTATTACCTTCATGTTTCTCCTGTGACTGAATATGAATTCAGACTGGAGTTTTAATGTACACTGATGTACTGCAGGAATGTTCTGAACGATTAGTTGTTTTTAATTAGTGTTTTTCTTTTCTGCTCGTAATCATTGGGAGACATTAAAGGTCTGTATGGCTTGGAGCTCCTTCATCCCTCCGTCTGCGTCGCATTCTGCTGCAGCCTTGGCTTGTTAAAGTTGATGACAGAAGAGCCTTCCTGTCCTGAGGCTGAGTCACCGCGCCGCTGTTCCAGTCCTGAGAACACTTTCAGCTCCTTTCTGGTTCAGAGCTGGAGGTGGAGAACGACCTGCAGGCCCGACGGCACATAGTCAGCAGGTCTGCCCTGGACTGGAAGCTGTTTTTAGCTCAGTGGCCAACTCAGTTATATCGATTTGATACAATAGCGGCTTCCGCACTTCCCATATCGGAGCCTTCTGTCACTTTTTCCAGCAGTTAAAACTGTTTAATCTCTTGTTAACACGTCGTAACCTGTTTTTCCGAGCCGCCTTTGAACACAACATGAGCACTGACACTTGCGTTGAATTTATATCTGTGCTGCTACTGTGCTGAGCTGCTCAGGTGGGTTGTAGTCATGGGAGCAAACCAGCAAAACGCAAAGAATGCACAGTTTTTAACCCCCAATCTAATAGATTGAGTTGCATATAGCTGTTGGATGTAGCTAATGTTAGCTAAAAGATGACTAGCTAATGTTAGCTAATCGATGACTAGCTATTGTTAGCTAATAGATGACTAGCTAATGTTAGCTAAAAGATGACTAGCTAATGTTAGCTAAAAGATGACTAGCTAATGTTAGCTAAAAGATGACTAGCTAATGTTAGCTAAAAGATGACTAACTAATGTTAGCTAAAAGATGACTAGCTAATGTTAGCTAAAAGATGACTAGCTAATGTTAGCTAATAGATGACTAGCTAATGTTAGTTAAAAGATGACTAGCTAATGTTAGCTAAAAGATGACTAACTAATGTTAGCTAAAAGATGACTAGCTAATGTTAGCTAATAGATGACTAGCTATTGTTAGCTAATAGATGACTAGCTAATGTTAGCTAAAAGATGACTAGCTAATGTTAGGTAATAGATGAGTAGCTAATGTTAGGTAATAGATCAATCAATCAATCAAATGTTATTTGTGTAGCACATTTCAGCAGCAAGGCATTTCAAATTGCTTTACATCATAAACACAAGAACACAAAGTCATGCATCATATAATAAACAATACATTGTTACATATTACGTCTCAAAAACAATTCTAAACAGGTATGTTTTTACTTGAGATTTAAAGGAAGTCAGGGTTTCTGCTGGTTTACAGTTTTCTGGAAGTTTGTTCCAGATGTTTGGTGCATAGATGCTGAAAGCTGCTTCTCCTCTCTTGGTTCTGGTTCTGGATGCAGAGCAGAACCAGAACCAGAACCTGAGAGTCTGGAAGGTTGATACAACAACAGCAGATCTTTAATGTATTGTGGTGCTAAACCGTTCAGTGATTTATAAACTAACAACAGTATTTTAAAATCTATTCTTTGAGCTACAGGGAGCCAGTGGAGGGACTTTAAAACTGCTGTTATGTCTCTATCTTCCTGGTTCTAGTGAGAACAGGAGCAGCAGCTTCTGGATCAGCAGCTTCTGGATCAGCTGCAGCTGGAGGATTGATTTGTTGGACAGGCCTGTGAAGATGCTGTTACAATAATCAATGTGACTGAAAATAAACGCATGGATGAGTTTCTCTAGATCTGGCTGAGACATTAGTCCTCTAATCCTGGAGATGTTCTTCAGGTGATAGAAGGCCGACTTTGTTACTGTCTTTATGTGGCTCGCAAGGTTCAGGTCAAAGGTCAGAGGTCATCACTACTTTCAGGTTTCGGGTTGATCTCTAGTTTTTAGTTGTAATAACTGAAGCTGTGCATTGACTCTAGATCTATAAACCTAGATCTATAACTAGATCTATAGCTCTAGATCTGTAAACATAGATCTATAGCACTATAGCTCTAGTTCTATAAATATAGATCTATAACTCTAGATCTGCAGATCTAGAGTTATAGATCTATAGCTCTAGTTCTATAAATATAGATCTATAACTAGATCTGTAGATCTAGAGTTATAGATCTATAGCTCTAGTTCTATAAATATAGATATATAATTCTAGATCTGTAGATCTAGAGTTATAGATCTATAACTCTACAGGTATAGGTCTAGATCTATAAACATAGATCTATAACTCTAGATCTGTAGATCTATAGCTCTAGATCTATAGCTCTAGATCGTTCCTCTTTAGGTCCAAAATTAATGACTTCAGTTTTGTTTTTGTTCAGCTGGAGAAAGTTTTGGCACATCCACACATTTATCTGTTCTAAACATTTATTCAGTGATTGGATGGGGTCAAAGGTCACCTGGTGACATCGTGATGTAGAGCTGTGTGTCATCTGCATAGTTATGGTAGCTGATATTATTTCCTGTTATGACCTGAGCAAGTGGGAGAATATAAATATTGAATAAGAGGGGTCCTAAGATTGAACCTTGGGGTACCCCACATGTGACCTTTGACCTCTTTGATGAGAAGTTTTCAATTGAAACAAATAAATTCCTGTTCTTTATGTAGGATTCAAACCAGTCGAGTATCCAACCGGAGAGTCCGACCCAACTCTCCAGTCGATTCAGTAATATGTCAAAAGCTGCACTGAGGTCCAACAGAACCAGAACCAGAACCAGCACCGTGGTTCTCCCACTGTCCGTATTTATATGGATATCATTGAATACTTTGACTAGGCCAGTCTCCGTGCTGTGCTGAGCACGAAAACCAGACTGGAAAGAGTCAAAGCAGTTGGTCATCATGAGGAAACTATTTAATTGTTTTCACAGTTTTTTCAATAACTTTGCTGATGAATGGGAGGTCAGAGGTCAGAGGTCAGCCTGTAATTCTGCAGTAGTGATTTGTCCAGGTTGTTCTTTTTTAGCAGTGGTTTAATGACTGCTGTTTTCAAAGCCTGGGGGAAACACCTGATGTAAGTGATGAGTTACTATTTGGATCAGATCTGCAGCAATAACAGGCAGGACTTTCTTAAATAAATGTTCTAGAGTTATAGATCTAGAACATCCAGACAGCAGGAGCTTGAACTTCATTGACTTATAATTTCTTCTAGGGTTTTATAATGAAGTAGTTGAAATTGGGTCATTTTTTCTGAGTAGCTAATGTTAGCTAATAGATGAGTAGCTAATGTTAGCTAATAGATGAGTAGCTAATGTTAGCTAATAGATGAGTAGCTAATGTTAGCTAATAGATGAGTAGCTAATGTTAGCTAATAGATGAGTAGCTAATGTTAGCTAATAGATGAGTAGCTAATGTTAGCTAATAGATGAGTAGCTAATGTTAGCTAATAGATGAGTAGCTAATGTTAGCTAATAGATGAGTAGCTAATGTTAGCTAATAGATGAGTAGATAATGTTAGCTAATAGATGAGTAGCTAATGTTAGCTAATAGATGAGTAGCTAATGTTAGCTAATAGATGAGTAGCTAATGTTAGCTAATAGATGAGTAGCTAATGTTAGCTAATAGATGAGTAGCTAATGTTAGCTAATAGATGAGTAGCTAATGTTAGCTAATAGATGAGTAGATAATGTTAGCTAATAGATGAGTAGCTAATGTTAGCTAATAGATGAGTAGCTAATGTTAGCTAATAGATGAGTAGCTAATGTTAGCTAATAGATGAGTAGCTAATGTTAGCTAATAGATGAGTAGATAATGTTAGCTAATAGATGAGTAGCTAATGTTAGCTAATAGATGAGTAGCTAATGTTAGCTAATAGATGAGTAGCTAATGTTAGCTAATAGATGAGTAGCTAATGTTAGCTAATAGATGAGTAGCTAATGTTAGCTAATAGATGAGTAGCTAATGTTAGCTAATAGATGAGTAGCTAATGTTAGCTAATAGATGAGTAGCTAATGTTAGCTAATAGATGAGTAGCTAATGTTAGCTAATAGATGAGTAGCTAATGTTAGCTAATAGATGAGTAGCTAATGTTAGCTAATAGATGAGTAGCTAATGTTAGCTAATAGATGAGTAGCTAATGTTAGCTAATAGATGAGTAGCTAATGTTAGCTAATAGATGAGTAGATAATGTTAGCTAATAGATGAGTAGCTAATGTTAGCTAATAGATGAGTAGCTAATGTTAGCTAATAGATGAGTAGATAATGTTAGCTAATAGATGAGTAGCTAATGTTAGCTAATAGACTTTTAGTAGCTAATGTTAGCTAATAGATGAGTAGATAATGTTAGCTAATAGATGAGTAGCTAATGTTAGCTAATAGACTTTTAGTAGCTAACACCACCGTAAGTTTGTTTAGTACAGGCAACAGTTGTTGTCTGTTTACAAGTTGTTACTTGAGTAACTTTTTTGGAAAAATGTGCTGATAAAGTAGTTTTACTGGACTGTAAGGGTTTGTTGTTGGAAGTAGGTTCATCTTCACTCGTTTTATTAGCTACAATCTTTAAATCTTTGTGATTTATGAAGACATTAATATGTCCTTTAACCAAGTATGTTCAACAGTTAGTCTGGTCTAAGTCGTTTCCATGGTTACAGTAGAAACGGTTTTAAACGCCTCCAGACTACAGACAAAGTTTGTCTGTAGTCTGGAGGCGCTCCTAGAAGCTCCATCCGCTCCTAGAAGATCCAATCAGCTCCTAGAAGCTCCAATCAGCTCCTAGAAGCTCCAATCAGCTCCTAGAAGCTCCATCCGCTCCTAGAAGCTCCAATCAGCTCCTAGAAGATCCAATCAGCTCCTAGAAGCTCCATCCGCTCCAATCAGCTCCTAGAAGCTCCAGTCACAAAAACAAAACATAAAAAACTTTTATTCCAAAATAAAACCAGGGCGGATTTTTGCTGCAACTGGAAACAGAATAAATGAAGCAGAAGGTGGCTGTGGAAGAGCAGCTGCAGCTAAAGCTAACCAGGCTTCCAGCAGAACATCCAGTCCGACTAACAGAACCAGAACAGAAAGCAGATAAACATCAGCGCGGCTTGTAGCCGCAGGCGGCTTCAGCCTGCTGGTCGTCACAGGCTGGCAGCACTTATCACCCAGCAGCCAGCAATAAACACGCATTTATCGCTGCAGCGCACACAAACTGCACAGGTGGAAAAACGTCTCAATACAGGTTTAATTCAGAGTTTTCTTGTCATTCTAACATTTCTGGTGGCCAGCGCGAGCAGAAAGCTAGCCGAGCTAGTGTAACCGGATCCAATGTGCCTTGTGCTGGTTTAAAACGATCAGGCCTTTAAAAGGATGGTTCCTTGATTCATTCTGACAAGAATAACTTAAAAAAGATCCGTGTTACAGCCCGCTCCTAACACGCTCCTAACACAGTTAAAACAATAACAGATTCTCAGTCAGGTAGGAACCCATACAAAGAACCAAAAAAAGACATTTTGAATAATTATAACAGAAGAGCAAATCAACCAGGTTACACTAGCATAGTGCGCTACATTAGTTCAGCTAATGCTAACCAGACCCGAACTGAATCGGTTGATCCTCCTCGTCTCCATCTGATCCGGTCCAGTTCTGCTCCAACACCAGGCGGTTCTGGTTTCTCTCTGTAGGGTCCAATCGGTACTGTTGCTGTAACTCAGCGATCAGGCCTGAAACCTGCGAGTAGAGATGATGGAAACAACCACAAATTAAGCTCCTTATTTTTTATATCACCTTTACTATGTTTTATTTTGTACATTATATGGTTGACTTCCGGGTTTTGATTTGATGCTTTTATGTTGAAGAGACAACTTCCTCTGTATATATCTTATAGAACAGCAGCTTAACGACAGGAGAGACGAGTTGCAGCAACATGTCACAGTTAGCTGCACCTTGATGGAGGCAGAAGCTCTTAGTGAAACTCAGTTCACCTCCAGTGACCCCATGGTAAACCCAGAGTCCTTCATGTGGGGGGTCTGCTAAAGATGACCTCTGACCTGAGCCTCCAGAGCCTCATAAAGCCTAACCCACAGTGGGCCTTCTAGCAGCAGAACATTTCCAGAACCAGAGACTAAAGTCTCCGACCAGAGAAACTTTGATTCCTGCAGCATCTGATGACAAACCAGAACCTGCTGCTGGTCCAGAACCTGCAGCTGGTCCAGAACCTGCTGCTGGTCCAGAACCTGCTGCTGGTCCAGAACCTGCTGCTCGTCCAGAACCTGCAGCTGGTCCAGAACCTGCTGCTGGTCCAGAACCTGCTGCTGGTCCAGAACCTGCTGCTGGTCCAGAACCTGCAGCTGGTCCAGAACCTGCTGCTGGTCCAGAACCTGCTGCTCGTCCAGAACCTGCAGCTGGTCCAGAACCTGCTGCTGGTCCAGAACCTGCTGCTGGTCCAGAACCTGCTGCTCGTCCAGAACCTGCAGCTGGTCCAGAACCTGCTGCTGGTCCAGAACCTGCTGCTGGTCCAGAACCTGCAGCTGGTCCAGAACCTGCAGCTGGTCCAGAACCTGCTGCTCGTCCAGAACCTGCTGCTGGTCCAGAACCTGCTGGTCCGGAAGCTGCAGCTGGTCCAGAAGCTGCAGCTGGTCCAGAACCCTGCTGGTCCAGAAGCTGCAGCTGGTCCAGAACCCTGCTGGTCCAGAACCTGCAGCTGGTCCAGAACCCTGCTGGTCCGGAACCTGCTGCTGGTCCGGAACCTGCTGCTGGTCCGGAAGCTGCAGCTGGTCCAGAACCTGCTGCTGGTCCAGAACCTGCTGGTCCGGAAGCTGCAGCTGGTCCAGAAGCTGCAGCTGGTCCAGAACCCTGCTGGTCCAGAACCCTGCTGGTCCGGAACCTGCTGCTGGTCCAGAACCCTGCTGGTCCAGAACCTGCAGCTGGTCCAGAACCTGCATCTGGGTTCTACACCACCTGGTAGTTTATCATTCACTGAAAGGATTTAAGATCTGCTGCTGGGTCGACCTGCTGGTTCTGATTCTGATTCCCAGCTGGTTGGAGCTGATTTACAAACATAATCAATGAAACAATTATCAATAATCTGATCTGCAACAACAAAATGTTTCTGTTTCTATGATTTTGCATGTTTGTGTTTATGATATAAATCATTTTTAACAGACTTACTGCTGAAAGGTGCAATACAAATAAAATTTGATTGATTGATTGATCGATCAGTAACTGCAGCTGTTTGGTTCTGCAGGTGGTGGATTGCTCCTGGGACGAGACGGTAAAGATCTACTCACCTTCCTGCCTCGCTGCAGCACCATAACACACACACATCCTAATACACACACACACATCCTAATACACACACACACACATCCTAATACACACACACACACATCCTAATACACACACACACACATCCTAATACACACACACACATATCCCAACATACACACAGAGACACACACACCGTTGGACGTCTTCGGGGCAGTGGGCGGTTCTTCCGGCTGGATTTGAGCTCCTATTGGCTGATTGGACTCTGAGTTCGAGATGTGAAATATAATCATAAAGTATTTTATGTAAATGTTGTTTAGAATGTAATAAATGTTGTATTTTCCATCCAGCCGTTTGGTAACTAAACCCTGAATCCACTTTTCACTGCAGACAAACTGAGTAGTTTTTATGTTTCTCTGTGATTGAAGTGACTCAGTGCTGCCCTCAGGGTCGAATAGTGGTACTGCAGCTGAATTTTCCTATTGGTTCCGGGGTTCCAGCCCTGTGATTGGCTGTAAAACCCCCTCACTCAGACGCGCCCCCTGGTGGCGCGTCAGGAGGTGGAACAAGGAACATGGTGAGCGTTGATCAACAGCGTTGCCCGTGTGATTTATTAGCAAGAGCGACTGGAGCTGTTTGCTGCTGAACTCACTAGATTTATTTTTGAAAAGTTAACAGATTTGTTGTAAGTCACTTTTACTGCTTCACAGTGAGATGGTGAGTTAGACTGACTACATTGAGACATTATTATTATTATTTTATTATTATTATTATTATTATTATATTATTGCCGTCTATTGAGAAATAAAAACATCCTCCATGTTATAGATTTCTTATTTTATCTTCCGGTTTTCCTCTGGTCATCTAATGAAGAAACTTTTCCACATTCAGTCGAAATTAAAAAGTATTTAGAGTAAATGTGGGTGAACCCAGAGCGCCGAGGTTCTGATGGTTCCTGATGACGCGCCGGATGTGGGCGGGGCTTCCCGCCTGCCGCCCTGGAAACTGATTTTCTGATGAAATATTTAAATTGAAGATATTTCCCTGCCTGTTGGGAGCATCGTTAACATTTACCCTGAGAGGAACCGGAACCGGACCGGGTCAGAACTTCAGACCTGAATCCATTCAATCTGAATGGATTGAAGTTAAAGTTGTTTGTTTCAAATGAATGAATAAATCCGTTCAGGAACCACAAGGAAATGAACTAAACGCGAGTTGGATATGAAGTGTTTTTGGCAATTATTCCTTATTTTATTCTATTTATCTTGTTTTATTTCACTTTTTTGTTTTAATTTCACTCTTTTGGTCTTTTATTTAACTCCTATATGTTAAGCGGTAGTTTTTCTTGGTGTTTATCATTAAAAGTGTTTTATGCGTATTAATGTAATAACAGTTTAGAAGCAGCAGCTCGGACTTGCTGAAGTTTCTCCCCGTGGCTGTGAGTTTGGCCCCCGTGGAGGAGCTCCCCCTCCCCCTTCCCCCCGCTGCGGTAAAATGTCCTGAGTGGCTGCGGCTCCTCCCGCTCCGCCCCCGCCGCTCTGCCTCCCCTCAGTGCGCATCCGGAGCGCAGAGAGGAGAATCCCTCCTGAGGACCAGCTGGAGCCCCCCGCCGGGTCCAGGTGAAGCCATGGAGGTGTTCCGGAGCCGGATGCTGGGGATCTCCGTGGCCGTGGCGCACGGCGTGTTCTCCGGGTCGCTCAACCCTCAAGTTCCTCATCAGTAACTATCAGTTCGGCTTCCTGACGCTCATCCAGTTCCTCACCAGCTTCACGGCCATGCTGGCGCTGGAGAGCCTGCGGCGGCTCGGGAGGATCCAGGTGCCGCCGTTCGGCACGCAGCTGGCCAAGGTAGGAGCCGGAACCGGTTCTGGAGGGGTTGACCCAGAACAGGTTCTGGTGTTCCACCTCAAGTTTTATAGTTTTTTTTTTCTTTTTTTTTCCTGATTTCTCTGCAGGTTGGATTTAGCTTCTGAAATAGTTTTTAAAATTTTTGGTTCTAAATTGTAGGAAACCGTTCTTTAGAACCGGATCGTTCTGTGGAACCGGATCGTTGTTTAGAACCGGATCGTTCTGTCGAACCGGATCGTTTTTAGAACCGGATCGTTCTGTAGAACCGGATCGTTCTGTGGAACCGGATCGTTCTGTAGAACCGGATGGGAAACTTTCTGCAGCTTTTCTCTCTTTCCTCAGGATGTTTCATTCCTGTTTGTAGCGGCCTCGGAATAAACAGCCAGGCGCAGGGAGTTCCAAACGGGTGCAGTTTAATCTTCACTTTCCTTGTCAGACACCGTGAAAACTGTACATAAAATAAAAGATACATAACTGTTGGGCATGCTTAATACTCGTATAAATAAACATAAACGTCCACACATACAAAAAAAATACGTTGTGTCCAAACTCGTTAGCATACACAGTTTCGTTAATAAACAATAAACTACTGCCGTTCCTACTACTTTTAAATAAACTTGTTTTATCACAACTTATCACTCAGACCTCATTCTGCTTTCCAAGGGCGCTAGTTTACAGATTGTCATCGGTTTTCTTAAGGCTCTAACGCTGACTCGTGGTCAGCAAAACAGGAAGCGAACAACACAAAACACACGAAGAAAAATCCACCGCTCTTCAAAATAAAAGCACAAATCAACCAATAGGTGTCACTGTTGGACCAATGAACAAAATGAGAATTTTACCATTTAGTAGTTATTTACACTGTTATCTATTCAGTTGTTCTCCAATTTTTTGTTACAAATTAAAAATAACTTTTATTCATTTACGCAGATTAAAACCTACAACCTTTTTCAAATATCAATATTTAATCTCGGAGGGAAATGAAATGCTGAAACTCATGAATTTAAATTCTCCAGTTATTGTACGAAGTCTCAGAGAATCGTTCAGAGAATCCTTTAGATGAACTGATTCTAACCGTTCCTTCCTCACCGGAGGCGAAATGATTCTCTGATGTTTCTTGGCTCGAGGAGTCATTCCCCCCATTTCTTTAGCGCCCCCTGTTGTTCATATGCGGATCCGGTGCAGCTCAGTCTCCCTGAGCGCAGAGAGGATCTCACTGCGCATGCGCAGCAGAGGGCGTGAATTTGATTTCTGTTTTAATAGAAAACATGATGTTTATTGGTAAAGGCGGTGTAAATATGCTGCTGTTTTCTTCATAAATGGATCCTACTGGTCAAAACCTGGCAGATACCGAACCGAACCGGGATCAGACGGTTCTGAGGTTCTGAAAGCTCCACTGCTGAACATCCGCAATCAGACTTTCTGTCACATTCAGTTCTGGAGTCCGGTTCCGATGTTTCAGAACGTCCTGAAACATCGGAACCGGCATGATGCTGCCACCACCGTGTCCCAGACAGGAGACCCTCGGTGCTGGTCAGGCTCAGAACCGGAAGTCTCTGGAAACTGCAGCGACTCAAATATTTGACCCAAAATTACGTGACGTCACTTTCCTCCTTTCTAAATGTTTTAATGTTTGATATTAGGACGGAATATTGGGTCTAGCTCAGAATATAAAACTACTGTTTAGATTTTACTCTTGAAATATTGACTTTATAATCCCATTATATTCATCTTCACTGTGGTGATAAAGTCACATTTATTACTTTTAATATACTTTTTCCATTTGAATTCATGCTTCTGACTTTGTTCTGGTAATATTTTCACTATTTTCTGTTTATCTTGACACTGAGGTTGTGTGTCTGGACTCTTTGCGCCTGTTTGCAGGAGTTTGCGCCAGTCTGCATCCTGTCCACGCTGCAGTCCACGCTGACGCTGTGGTCGCTGCGCGGCCTCAGTCTGCCCATGTACGTGGTGTTCAAGCGCTGCCTGCCGCTCTTCACGCTCTGCATCGGGGTGTGCGTCCTCCGCAACGCGCTGCCGTCTGCGGGCGTGGTGACCGCCGTGCTCATCACCACAGGGGGCGCTGTTCTGGCAGGTAAGAGCTCCAGGAACTAGTTGTGTCCATCCATCCATCCGTCCAGTGGAGCGCACACTTCCTCTAATCTGCTAATAGCAGAGCTAAGTTTTAGCTTAGCTCTTTAGCGACTGAAAGCATTTAGCGCTCATTTCCCTGGCTGATTGTAAACGTTCAGCCAAATCAAAGTTCAACATCTGGGTCCAAATTTTGGCTAAACATTCTTCAAGTAGTTATGCTTTTATTTTGAAGTGGGTGAAGTCTGTTTATGCAGCAGTTCAGCTTCCTGTCCTCAATAACAAACAGTGGAGAACAAGGCTAAGGAGCTACCTTGTTAGCATTAGCTTCTGTTAAATACCGTGTTGGTGAAGCACTTCAGAATTAGCTTCCACAAATTGCCATGTTGGTAGTGTTTAGCATTAGCTTCCATTGATTAGCGCTTTAGCGAATGACAGTGATTAGCTCAGACCTGCAGGTTCACTTCCGGTCCTGGTTGTTTCCTGCAGGAGCCGGAGACCTCACCGGGGATCCGTTTGGTTACGTCACCGGGGTTCTGGCTGTCATCATTCACGCCTCCTACCTGGTTCTGATCCAGAAAACCAGTCTGGAGAGCGAGTATGGACCTCTGACTGCACAGTACGCCATCACCATCATGGCGTCGCCGGTGTGGAACCTTGTTTCAGGAATGTCTTGCTTTCATCCTCGTTTCCGGTTTGTTTTCTGACGCTCTTCCTGTTTCCAGGTGCTGCTCGTCTGCTCCCTCATCTCCATGGACGCCGTCAACATGTGGACCTACGACGGCTGGCAGGAACCGCAGATCACCGTCATCTTCATCCTGTGCATCTTCATCGGCTGCGCCATGAACTTCACCACGCTGCACTGCACCTACATCAACTCGGCCGTCACCACCAGCTTCGTCGGCGTGGTCAAGAGCATCGCCACCATCACGGTGGGCATGCTGGCCTTCAAGGACGTGGCGCCCACGCGGCTCTTCATCGGCGGAGTGGTGGTGAACACCGTCGGCTCCATCACCTACTGCGTGGTCAAATACTTTGAGACGCAGAAGAAGAGTTTGTACGAGGACCTGGAGAAGGACGCGGCGCAGCCTGGAGACCCCTACACCGAGAAACCCCCGCCGATCGAGGAAGGGCCCGCCGCCGGGCCCGAGCCGCGGCCGGGGGAGAGCGGAGACGGGAGAGGGGACGAGGCGCCTCCGGTACCGAACGGAGCGCCGTCGGTGGGGGGGAGCGCCGGAGGAGACGGCGGCCTGAAATCTGTAGTGATGACGGAGAAGGAGGCGCTGGAGATGCAGAGGGAGCACCTCCACCAGGAGAACCTCCACCAGGAGAACCTCCACCAGGAGAACCTCCACCAGGAGAATCCCGCCGCCGGCCGGACCGCCACCCACAACCTGGCGGGAGCCCTGAGGTCCATCAGGGCTCTGCAGCTCGCCAAGAAGGAAAACCTGATCGACAACATAGAACTTCAGAGTCCATGAGGGCGGGATGGAGACCCGAACGGACTCTTGAGACGAACCAGAAAGGAACTCAGCGGACAGGCACCGGACCGGACCGGACCGGATCGGACCGGACCGGACCGCAGGTCTTTCATTCGCATCGGCCGCTTGACAAATGCTTGATGGTCTTGTTGGCTTCGTCTCTCCACTGAACATTTTTCGCGAACCAGAACCGCAGAACCAGGAGGCGGACTGACCGTGTCTCCATGGTAACGAGTACCAAGCAGTTCCAGTTTGAGCCAGCAGGGGGCGGAGCTTATTCTCGGCATGCGGAGGTTCGGCCAGCATGACCCGTTTCCCGGTCCGGTTAGAACCCGGATGGACTGAACCCTGCAGGTCCGGTTTACTTTTTATCTGCTTCCATTTCATCATCAGATCCAAAATAATCCAAATTAATGTGTCGTAATTGTACCGGTTCTGTTCCGTGTCCTTCGGGTCATCCGGGTCACTGATCAGAGGCTGTTCACCCCAAAGAGCCAAACGACGTCATTTAATGTGAAATGTTTCATTTAACTGAGAAGTTAGTTTTATTAAACTGCTTTTCTTCTTTCTGGTTTGGTTCTGATGCGTCTCAAAATGCCAAATATGGTTTTTATTTTATTTTATTGCTTTCAGTGTTTTCACAGCTGAGAAGAAAAAATGTCAGATTTGATTTCCACTGTGGCCTTTTTATTTACTGTTAGCTTTTCATAAAAGCTCAGGCTCAATAGAACGTTTGATTGTTTTGCTGTTTCCTGAGAGAATGAAGGGAATCCGCCATGTTCTGTAGTATTCTCTGGATTCACTGAGTTCCTATTAAATGGCTGATATCAGCTTCTGCCTAATGATCTGTTATTGAGAATATTAACTGAAAACTCACATAACCACAATAATATTAGCTCTTTATTCAAAATGTGAACAAGATAATGTTCTGTTTTAAGGTCAAATCAATAATAAGTTATTATCCTACTATGATCCATCCATCTTATCCGGGTCGGGTCGCGGGGTCAGCATTCTCTCCTTCCAGCTCCTCCAGGGAATCCCACGGCATTCATGACTTTAGATGATAGTAGGAACGTAGATCGACTGATAAATCGAGAGCTTCGCTTTCTGGCTCTGCTCTCTATTATTATTATCAATATCTACAGTTTTCTGTCTAATCTTGTAGTTTTATCATTTCCAAAAATTTCTCCTTCATATTTTGAGATCTAAGCTAGCGATTTCACAGCTTCAATCTTGAACCTGACTTGTTCATAGCAACATTAGCCGCTAACTGAACAGCTAATGTAGCTGAATATTGCTGAATACTTCAGGTGTTTATGTTCACCTGATCAGCAGAAGTTTATTATGGAGGGTTGGACATTAGTGTCACGGTTAATCTGGCACATTATTGCACTAGATCACAAACGTCACACTGTAGCATTGTTTTTTACTAATGTTAGCAAGGCTAACATTAGCATGTGAATACTGAACCTGCATCCTAATGGTCACATTAGCACACAGCTAATATAAGCATGGGAATCTACCCATTGCTAATATTAGCTGATTATTAACATTAGCACACTATTGCTAACTTTGGCTTGCTAATTAATGTCCAGCTAGCACCACCTCATCCTGACAGTAACATCACTGTACAATCAGTGGCGGAGCCAGAGGGGTGGCCGGGGTGGCACTTGCCGCCCCCAAAAGGCCCCTGGCCCCCCCTACTGCCACCCCACTGGAAATGGTCATTTTAAAATATAATACTTATGAGATGGGCAAAGATTTGCCAGGAAAACTGTAATTTCCGACTGTCCCTGAAGGCAGCCCGATGCCCGACGCTGTTCATTGGTTAAACTGACATGTGGTTCCTGCTTGATCCAAAACACATCAACGGCTTTAGAGTTACACCGTCAGGAGTTTTGCAGGTATTTACAACATTTTACCGCTCAGCAGTAACCGCTGTTACCTTCCTAATGAGAGGCGGCACTTGTCATACATTTCTAAAAAGAAAACAAATGGTTGTGTACCGCTGCATAGTGCCTCGTTTATTATATTAGCCATGCTAGGGCTGATAGATCGTGTTTTAGACAGATTCTTTTAACATGTTTTAGTGACATGCTGCCCTCTAATGTTTTATATCTCCCAGCTCTTGCTTGAAATGTGTGGAAAGAATATGAGAAAAACCATTAAGTTTTATAATGACTGAAATGTAAGTAGGCTATGTCATATGAAAGCTTTGAATTATAACCTCACTAGTTATATTAATTTTAAATCTAATTTTTTTATTTAGTATTTTAGATAGCTACAGAAAACTAAAAACTATAGTTTGAATAATAGTTAAAATGTTGTCTCTGCCAAACAGTCATGGAGTCTAAATACCAGGATGTTACTTTGTGTAGAGCCCAAATGAAGAGAGAAGGGAAGATCTCCCAGTTCTTCTTAAAGAGGCAAAAACCAGGACCAGACAGAACCCTGCAGCAGTGACCAGGACCAGACCAGGACCGGACCAGGACCAGACAGAACCCTGCAGCAGTGACCAGGACCAGACCAGGACCGGACCAGGACCAGACAGAACCCTGCAGCAGTGACCAGGACCAGGAGAGAGCCTGCAGCAGAGACCAGGACCAGACCAGGACCAGACCAGGACCGGACCAGGACCAGACAGAACCCTGCAGCAGGGACCAGGACCAGACAGAACCCTGCAGCAGTGACCAGGACCAGACAGAACCCTGCAGCAGTGACCAGGACCAGAGAGAACCCTGCAGCAGGGACCAGGACCAGACAGAACCCTGCAGCAGGGACCAGGACCAGACAGAACCCTGCAGCAGTGACCAGGACCAGACCAGGACCGGACCAGGACCAGACAGAACCCTGCAGCAGTGACCAGGACCAGACCAGGACCGGACCAGGACCAGACAGAACCCTGCAGCAGTGACCAGGACCAGACAGAACCCTGCAGCAGTGACCAGGACCAGACAGAACCCTGCAGCAGTGACCAACCTGGAGAATCCAGCCAGGAGACTCCAGGCCCAAGTGGATCACCAGCGGGTTAGAGTCTGTGATAGAGTTATTAAGTATTAAAATCCAATAAGCCTAATTCTAAAGGTTAGCATGATGCTTTTTGCATTTTTTATTGTGTCTGTTTATGCATTTCCAGTTAAGTTCCAGAGAGAGATGAGGGTGATAGAGATTCAGAGTCAGACTCTGGGGAGGAAGACAGTGAAGCAGAAGGAAATGGCACTGAACTGCCCCCACCCAGCACAACCTATTGCACACCAGAAGCACCAGTTTATTTATTTACTTTTGAGAATTTGTTTTTGGTCATATTCTGGGCTCTGAGTTTACATTTACATGTTCACTGGTCCATAGAGCCGTTTAACATCTTGTTTGGTCATGGCAAATCTTTGTTAAATAAACCATTTTAATTTGAGTGTGTGTGAGAAAATATTTGTTTCCTTTCGTTTATCATTTGTATATTTACCCTCTGATAAAGCCTTGCTCAGCCTTTGGCCTCCCCTTGGAAAAAAGTCTAGCTCCGCCACTGTGTACAACAAGCACTGATATTAGCACTCCAGTGCTACTATCAGAGCACTTTCATGCTAACTTTGCATTAGCATACACAAAAATTAACCTTAGGACTGTAGTACAAAAATATTACACCATGCTCAGATGAAAACAGTAATGCTAATGTTAGCATGCTAATATTTCCTGGCTAAATAGTCAATATTTCAGCAGTTTAGCAGCTTCTCTCCTTTTCAATCTGAGTTGAAGGTTTTAGGAGATTTTTGGGAAATTTTGTCCTGAAATTCATCCAAACTGTCAACATGTCAGAATATCTGCCTCCATGTCATCGCAGGACCTTTTCTGCTTTATCTGCACACAGGATGTATTTGGAAATAATGAGAATATCTCTGGCGTTTTTAATGAACTTTCACCAAAACTTCATTCATTTTACCTCCAGCTGAATCATTTATCATTGTATTGTGATGATTCTGTTGATTATTGAGCAGCTTCTCCTGCTCTGACTCATATTGTCACTAATTGAAGCTGTTAATTGTTGGCATTTCAAAGGAACACAGAGCTGGATGGATGAAACCTGCACAACATTTTGTCTGACCGCCGCTCAGGTTCCACTGCAGCAGCAGATTAAAGCATCATCTCCTCTCCTGCATCTGCAGCAGCAGCTTGTTGCTCATGGTGGAACGCCGCTGAAAGCCGCAGCAGAGCCGGTTCTGTGTCTGCGGAGGCCGTGTCCACCTCCAGGCGACCCGACGACAGTTTCTAATGAAATCAGAGGGAATCAGGGCTGGGAGGGACGTGTGTGGGTCGGAGAGCCGAGCCAACGTCGAACCGCATTACTGCAGCGTCACGGACAGACGCGTTGAGTTCCAACTCCGGGCTGAAGCGTCCAGATGTTCCTCTCATGCTGATAAGACTGAAGTCTTCGCTCTGAAACAGAGAGCTGGCTGATGCTGCCGGTTCGGCGGGTTGAGCTGTGAGACACCAAAGAAGTTTGAAGGTTTTTAAAATGTGTTTACTGCAGTTAAACCTGAGGTGGAAACAGAAAGACACATTTATTACAAAACACCAAAGTGGGCGGAGCCAAGAGACGCTGGGGGCGTGGCCTAGGCTGGAGACAAGACACTTTTCAGAAAAGTTGTGAAGTTTCACCAAAAACCAGCAGCTGGTTAAGTCCTGGACCGGTTCAGCGATCCAGCAGGTCTCTGAGTCCAAACCGGTTCTGTTTGGTTCTGTGATGGCCTTCGTCCTCACCTGCTGGTAAACTGAGGAACTTTGATTAGACCCTGAATGAAGCGCATTGTGAGACCGATTCCTGCTGAGGTCTGGTCAGTGGTTCTGGTTCTGGTTTTTTCTTCTCCTGTTCTCCTCTGACCGGTGAAAAGCTGCCGGCACTTTGGACTAAAGAAGCTGTCAGGTCCAGGTATTGATCCGTATTGATCTTCTGCTCTCACACTCTCCCAGCTTCATTTAACGCTCCGGCGGCGGCGGCGGTGGCGGTGGCGGCGGCGGCGGCGTTTCCTGCAGATCATCAACACGTCCAGCAGAACGTCAATGAGGTTTCTGTCGACGCAGACGAACCTCTCCGCTTTCCTGCTCATCCTGAAGATTGATCTTTCAGTGTTGGATGGATTCACTAAGACAAAAAGCAGGAATGTTCAGATTTTTACTGTTTTAATGTTGAAACAGAGAAAAACATGAGTTTTGATTTTTATATTTTATTCTTGTTCTCTTTGCGCTGCAGGTTTGACAACAAACAAATCGACACCTATGGATGTTTTTCCTCGTGGTTTTAACTCTCTCTGTGTCTGAGCCAATTGAAGGTCTATTTTTATTCCCTCTATTAGCCACATGTAGCATTAGCATCAAGGGGTCGTATGAAAACTGACTGTAGATGGAGAAGTGATCAGATTCTGACACGCTGATCACTGTGTGAGAATGCGGATCAGAACTGGAGCAGAATCACAATGTCTTCCTTTTAAATCTCTGGGTGTGGTGACAGTTTGTTAGGTCTCCCATCTGCTGCTCTCTCAGTTTTATTTTCTGAACTCAAACTGCATGTTTCGTTGTCTCTTCTTCCACGTCTGGTGGCCATTTTGAGTTTGATGTTCCTTTCGTGACATCATCATCTGGTCACCTGTGATTTCTGGCTGTTTACTCACTTTATGATTTACGTTGTTGCAGATATTCAGCTGGAAAACACATAGAAATAATCCAATTTGATGATTTGTGTGCAGATTTGACTCAGAGTTAAAAGAGTCCCGAGGAATCTGAGGTGGAAGAAGACGCGTCGTTTACCTGCAGGCTGTTTGAAGGCAATCAGCCTGAATGAGGAGGAAGAGCAGAGGAAGAGGAGATTAAAGGTCCG